TGCACATGATTTCAGGAAAAAAAATGTGAGAAAACAGTATATTTACACACAAAAATAAAGAAATTGAATGACAAAAATCTGCGCGAATCTGCTGATTCTACGTGGGCCTAGTCATAACTAAACAAATGTAGCATGTTTGGTCTTCAAATCAAATTTACTAAAGAAATATACTATAATCAAAGCATGTGTATCAAAACAGAAGCGCACTTTGGTACAAAAATACATGCATCCTAAACAAAAGTGTAGTCATGCACACGATAGACTGAACAATGCAAGCAATCTGATGTTTCTCTACGCTTTTTTACAGGCGTCTTGGAAAGCCCCTGTTCATTTATTCAGACTATGCTTTGCATGTTCACAGCTGCTGGTGTGTGGGCAGATGATGATGATCTGAACTCAATCCAGCTCAACACACGCATTCATTTCAATGAGGGAAACCAAATGACCTGCACTGAGTCCCTTAATGTCTGTCCATATAGATCGGCCTGCAGGGGCTCATGGGAGAAAATGGAGTTGGTGTTTTACCAATCAAACTATCAATACAGTCACATGCCACAATAAAACTCTCTCATCATAGCCTGTATTCATTCATTTAAAGTTTTTGCAATTAATCTTACCATAATATCCTGCGATGTGACTATTGCGAATGATCACACTGCGATATCGCTGCTGAAATCATATATTGTGCAGCCCTAATGTCAACACAGCCATAACACACTTCTGTGCACACAGAGTCGGTTTCCATGGCTGGGGCTCTATGGGCTCTGTGTGTTTGGAGGAGCAGATTAAAATTCCTGTGCTGACCCGTCTCTCCCCACAGCGAGGGTCAGTCCATTCACGCCGGACACTGGGAAGCGGGTCAACCAGGACAGAAGCAGCTGCGCAGAAATAAACCAACACGGCTGGCTTTATCTTAGAGGAGCTGCATTATATTCCCATGCCAAAGTGCAAATGCCTTGACATGCATGTAAAGATTCCAGTCTCGTTCGCAAATAAACTCTTAAACTGAAGAGACTGAAGGAAAATGAAAAGCTGTCATTTTTTAGGCTGATATGACTAAGAGATATACTTGCAATAAACCCTTAAATGAACACTTTTCTCCTAGAGTTAACAGTTGAGTTCAGTTGATATCTTATCCCATTCTGCTGATCTACCGGGAGCACTTTTAGCTTAGCATAGATCATTGAATCGGATTAGACCATTAGCATCTCACTCAGAAATGACCAAAGAGTTTTATTTTAGTTTTTCTATCTAAAGCTTGACTCTTCTGTAGCTATTTCATGTATTAAAACTGAAGGAAAATGAAGTTGTTGTTTTCTAGGCTGATATGGCTAGGGACTATACTCTTATCTGGGCGTAATAACCAATAAACTTTGTTGATAACATTATTTGTCATTGTCAAACTGCAAATGCCTTGACATCCACGTAAAGATTTAAGTCACATTCGCAATAAACCCTTAAACACTCCACTTTCTTTTGGAAACATACTCATGCTACACTCTTCACGAGTAAAGAAGTTGAGTTTTGTCATTTCTGAATGCCTTCAGCCGATCTCCAGGTCTGCCGGGAACACTTTTAGCTTAGCTTAGCATAGATCATTGACTTGGATTAGACCATTAGCATCTCACTCAGAAATGACCAAACAGTTTTATCAGTTTTTCTATTTAAAGCTTGAATCATATGTAGCTACATCATGTATTAAGATGGAAAATAAAAATGAGTCTGGCAAAATAATCAGGAAACTCTGCTGCTGTGCCATGTTTAAAGCAATGCAATGATACTATACAGCACCTGAAACTCAGATCATTTGCATGTTATTTCAGCTCAAATAGAAGTGGTTTAGGGCCTGCACCAGAGTAAACATGTTCTGAATCATCTCTCACTAATATCTCCATGGTTTCAAGGCTGTGTAAGCAGTGATCTCGTTGGTTGTATTGATGAAAGTTAGCTGATTATCAGGCGCTACGTACTAGCAAAAATATAGTTCCTAGTCATATTGGTCTCTATAAAAATAGCAACTTTTATTTTCTGTCAGTTTTAATACATGATGGAACTACAGTAGAGTCAAGGTTTAAATAGGAAAATTATCTAAACTCTTTGTTCATTTGAGCGAGATGCTAATGGTCTAATCGGATATAATGATCTATGCTAAGCTAAGCTCCCGTCAGACCCGCAGATCAGCTGAACAAATGCACAATTTATGTTTAGTGTAAAAATAGCATTTTTGCAATAAAAGGTGGAGTGTTTCTTTAATAATCATCTGCTGCTTGCTCTTTTGAAAGACAAAAGTGCAGAGCCATAATGAAATGTAAATCATCTGCTCCAAATCTGATCAGATAAATCAATCCAACTGCAGATCAAAATAAAAAGTGAAATCACATCTGAACTGATTGTGTGTGTGTGTGTGTGTGTGTGTGTGTGTGTGTGTGTGTGTGTGTGAGAGAGAGAGAGAGAGAGAGAGAGAGATATGGTTCAGTGGAGGTCAGAAATGTGTGACCCACTTCATGCCAAATGAAATAATGTGTCTGTGTGAGCTCTCTAGGACATCAGATTGGCTTCATATGACCAACAACAGGATAAAACACTGGCTAAATTGGAGCACAAACAAACACACACACACACACACACACACACACACACACACACACAGAGTGAATTCCCCCTGCAGTACAGTAAAGTAGGTGAAGGACTGCAGCAGCTGTACAGTAGATGATGATGATGATGAACAGCCGGAAACTCTTTGTGTCCTGAAGCTCAAAGTTCCATGTCAATGTCAGCACTCGACTGTGAGGGAAACCCAATACACCAGTGCACACAGAGCATACATTACCACGAGGGAAGAGCACTGTGTGTGTGTGTGTGTGTGTGTGTATGTGTGAGGGAGAGCAAGAGAGAAAGAGAGAGTCTGTGTGTCTGTCTGTCTGTGTGTGTGTGTGTGTGTGTGTGTGTGTGTGTGTGTGCGTGTGCGTGTGTCTTTGTCAGTGCATGCCTGTCTGTCTGTGTTCGTCAGAATGTGTGTGTATGTCAGTATATGTCTTTGTGTGTGTGTGTGTGTGTGTCTGTCCGTTTGTCAGAATGTGTGTCTTAAGTATATCAGTGTGTGTATACGCCTCTGTCTTTCTGTCTGTGTATGTCAGAATGTGTGTGTGTGTGTGTGTGTGTATGTCAGTACATGTCTTTGTGTGTATGTGTGTTTGTCAGAATGTGTGTCTTAAGTATGTCAGTGTGTGTGTATACGCCTCTGTCTGTCTGTGTATGAGAGAATGTGTGTGTATGTCAGTACATGTCTTTGTGTCTGTCTGTCTGTCTGTCTACGCAGCTCAGAATGTGTATGAACGCATATGTCTGTCTTTCTGTCTCACTCTGTGTGTCAGTGTGTGTATGCATGTCTGCCTTTCTATGTGTGTGTTTCTGTGACTTTGTATTCATTACATTGTGGGGACCAATTGTCCCCACAAGTATAGCAAAACTAGTAAATTTTGACCATGCGTGGACATTTTTTGTTCCTAATGAGGAAAACGGCTCAAATCCTTCAGAATGCAGTGTTCTGAAAATGTAAAAGTGCCGACTGTTTCCTGCGAGGGTTGCTTTAGGGAGAGAACATACAGACTATACAGAGAATATACAATAGCAACATCAATACAGCGATAAAGAGAGAGCCCATAAAGGGTGTGTGTGTGTGTGTGTGTGTGTGTGTGGATGCGGAGCGTTGATGGAATAGCGACTGCTCACCCAGGCATGCTCAGTTTGGCTTTGGGGGGTTTATATGTGGATTAGTGCTCTGGTTTTCTCTCCATATTCTCGGCTCCGTCTCTTATTTCAGTCTGTGTTCTATACCTGCACTGATCTCAGGTCTGCAGTCTGAGTTCACTCGCTCTGCACTTCATTAATTGGATAGGATGGGATTTCACCTCAATATTTAACAGCGTGTCGTGATCCTGGATGTAGATTACTGCTCAATTCACGGCTCAGTTTTTACTCACCAGCCTGCAAAATCCCTCTGCAGAGACTCAATCAGACTATTATAAGCTCTTAAACCTACAGTATACATTCTATATAGTGTACATGTTGTTATTATCTATATTCTTCTTCTTTATTAGTACTATTTCTGATTTGTGTATAATAAGTAATTCCTTTTTTGCCAGTATTTTTGTCAGATGCATGGTTCTTTTCCTCCCGCATTACACAGAATGATCACAATATAAATGTTATATACTTCAGTCTCTAGATTAACATTGAGAATTCGTCACAAAAGGCTCACAGAAATCAGCAGAAAACTGAAAAAGATTTAATCTTTCAATCTATGTATTTATTAAAGTAAATGTTTATGTATTATACTTATTCATTTTCCTTCAGCTTAGTCTCTTAGTCTAATAAGGGATTGCCACAGTGGAATGAACCGCCAATTACTCCAGCATATGTTTTAGGCAGCGGATGCCCTTCCAGTTGCAATACAGTACTGGGAAACATACAACTAGTTGTGCTGTGCAGATCATGGGGTATTTGACCTATACTACATGGCAGACTTGCTCCATGCATGTACCCTAGAGCAGATGATACCCTAGGCAATCTCGTTTACACAACACTGGAGCAGTAATGTGATTGGCTGTTGTCTTCTGCGAAGTGTAGAAGCTGATATGTTTTGTGAATGAACCATGAAACACAGCTACATAGGTGTTGCAAACTTCATAGCATCATGTAAGTATCATCTCCGCTCAACGAGGTGAAGATGTTCAGTGAGGAGCATCTGATAACCAAGATGTGCAAGAAGGCAAGATTGGAGCAGCTACATTTGAAGTCAGAATTATTCGCCCCCTTGTATATTGTTTCACCAATTTCTGTTTAACGGAGAGAAGAGTTTCTTCATCACTTTTCTGATCATAATAGTTTTGATAACTCATTTCTTATAACTGATTTCTTCTCTCTTTGCCATGATGACAGCACATAAGTTTCCTAACATCATGCAGACCTATCGGGTATAGTATTGAACAGAGACTCACTACTCCAGGACGAGCACCATCTCGCTGGGCATCTCGTAGACCTCGTGTAGATTCACCACTCGTGGACACGCGGCTGCGAGTTCCAGCACTGCGATCTCATGGATGATCTCGGTCCGGCAGTCCTGACCCTTCCTCCTCTTCCTCATGTACTTGGCTGCAAACTCCTTCCCTGAGCTCTTCTCCACACACTTCCTCACCACTGCGAACTTGCCTCTGAAAACCAGACGAAACAAGAGGAACGCTTGGTTAGCAGGCAGAATATCGCATAGCAGAAGAACAGTCATGTAGATTCAGTGTGGATCAGAAGCATTTGGAAACCGTTTAAAGTCAGCATGAAATTAAAATCGACTCTTCTTATATTTAGATAGTTTCCCAGCGCTACGCAGCAGCAAATGTAGTGCCAATAAAGTCCATACAGTACCTAACATTTCATTTACACTTGATCCTTACATAAACACATTCATTCATCTTCAGCTTAGCCTCTTATTTATCAAGGGTCACCACAGCAGAATGAACCACCAACTATTTCAGCATGTTTTACACAGCGGATGCCCTTCCAGCTGCAACCCAGTACTTGAAAACACTCAAACACACTCATTCACACACACACTTATACACTAGGGCCAATTTAGCTTGTTTAATTCCCCTATAGCGCATGTGTATGGACTGTGGGGGAAACCAGAGCACCCAGAGTAAACACACGCCAACATGGGGAGAACATGCAAACTCCACACTGAAACGCCAACTGACCCAGCCAGGACTCAAACCAGTGAGCTTCTTGCTGTGAGGGAACAGTGCTAACCACTGAGCCACCCATATAAAAACATGTGACGCCCCATTCACACGGGGCTTCAGCGTCAACGCTTGACAGAGGGCGTGTCTGAAGTTGGGGCTGAAGTGATCGTCATAGCAGTGTCAGCCAATGAATAGTGAGTAACAGGCCACTTTCTAGCTGGTGTATTTGCATACATCGATCTGATTGGCTGACGCTTCCGTCGCTGCTTGAAAAGTTGAGCAAGTCCCAACTTCTGTAGCGAGCAACGCCTCTGAAGCGGCGCAGACGGATCCACAATGCAGTTCGGCAACGCCTGACGTCACCCATTCACAGTGAATGGGAAGCGTTGACGCTGAAGCCCCGTGTGAATGGAGCGTGAGAGTATAATTTTATAAAATGTTGACCATTTAAAACAGCCATGTTCACAGAACTTTAATAACATAAGCTGAGGTAAATTGTGCTAATGTTCAAATGCAGCTTCTGAAATATTAAATCAGCTGTGGATTATTTACCAAGAATTACGCATGAATTAGAATTAAGCAAGAATAGTCAGAATTGCTCAGTTTATTCATGCTCGCTTTTGACAGCGGCACAGTAAAACTGTTAAAATAACACTGTAAACAAATTGAATTCAAGCACTTTCAAGGACCAGTGTTTATCTTCAAGAGCTTTCCAGGCCTTGAATCAATGGCTGTTTCTCAATATGCGCTGTTGCGTTCTCATGTCAACTGGTGGATGACATTTATTTAGAGGTATTTTTTTAGCTAAATAAAATAGTATTTTGTAGTCTGGTCGGCACAGTGGCTCAGTGGTTAGCACTGTGGCCTCATAGCAAGAAGGTCGCTGGTTCGAGTTTTAGCTGGGTCAGTTGGCTTTTCTGTGTGGAGTTTGCACTTTCTCCCACATTGGCTCCATTTTCCCTCTCAGTCCAAACACATGCGTATGAGTGTGTGTGTGTGTTAATGAGTGTGTATGGGTGTTTCACAGTACTGAGCTGCAGCTGGAAGGGCATCAGCTGTGTAAAACATATGCTGGCGGTTCATTACACTGTGGTGACCTCTCATAATAAGAGAATAAGCAAAAGGAAAATAATGAATGGGTTTTTTGTAGTTATATCAAAAGAAACACTGTTATCGTAACACTCAACAACAATATCGATAGTTCACCGCTTTAGTGCAGCCCTAATTTCCATGCATCTCATTAAACAGCACGGCAGGTTAGTCACATGCACTAACACAAAACAGCTCCATCCAGATCCTCTATTCAGCAGATCTGAAGGGTTTTAGGTTGCTGTGTGTTGAGTGTCTAAAGATGGCACACTTGTTATTATCACCCCAGCTGAACGTGTCTTTGTCTCTGTGGCATATTTGCAGGATGAAATCACCCTGAAGCCCAAACTGTCCCTTCGTGTCCCACTTTTAGCACTGAGCAAGAGGATGCAGGAGGGACAGGGGAAACACACACATTTATACAGACTACAGTATTAGAAAAAACTGACATTGCAATATTAGAATAGATAAATATTGCAAAAAAGTTATTACAAACTCCAAAATTTTAAGTAAATTTGATATATTTTTATGCTTCTCTTAATTTTTCCAGTTTTTAATTTTATTTAACATGCTTCCCAACATTACTTTGGTCTGTGACTTTCAGTTTTTGTAAGATTAGTTGATAAGTTTTATCTTTGGTATTGACCAATTATGTATCTGCACATATACAGTACTGTCAAGTATCCTGTAGAAAGTATTAATGTAAAAGAAAGATCTGTGAGTGGTGAACGTATTTACACTGAGCTCTGTATATTGAGTTAGTATTAAATGTGTAGCAGTCTAAATCTTATAGAAATGACCATACTAGTATCATCTTTTTAATGTCATCATTTTCAGCTGATAAGAAAACACATTATTGACCAATAAATGATGGATTATTAGCATTCTGTCCACTTCAGCTGCATGCAGCTGGACATGAGGATTTTGAGCAGTGTCTTCCACATGAGGTGACATGACAGAGGAAAGAGCAGACGGTTTTCATCTTGAAGTATTAGAAGTTCAGAAATTTGAATTCTGAGCATTTTAAAGAAAAGATCTTGAGGTTTCCTTGTAGTTTATGTTTTTTTTTTAATAAAATCATTTGTTCACTGTATTTGCTGCCATTTTTTAGGCTGAGAAAAAAAAGCATTAGATCAAGATTTAGGTTGATTGGCCTGTATATATACACATCATTAGCTCCTAAACATAGGTCATTGGGTATCTGTATTTTATTATTAACAACAACATAATATAATATATAACATGATAATAAAATTATTATTATTATGCTATTATGAAGCTGCTTTAACTCAATCTACAATGTAAAAGCGCTATACAAATAAAGGTGAATTGAATATGCAATGAATGCATGCATAAATGAATGCTTGCAATACTGCTACCAAGAATACATGTGAGAATGAATGCATGCATGAATGAATGAATGCATAAATTAATGGATACATGCATGAACTAATGCATGCATGAATTAATGCATAAATGAATGAATGAATGCATTCGTCAATACATGCATGCATGCATTAATGAACGCACACATGAATGAATGCATGCATGCATGAACAAACAAATACATAAATAAAAGAATGAATGAATGAATGAATAAACACATGCACAAATATGACTTAAACTGAAAGGTGACTGATGAATAAGTCCACTAGACAAATCCATAAAACAGACTGAGGATTGATTTAAAATGCAGCGAGTGAAGTCTCTGATGTGCCGTTAACATTGGCTGAGACCTGCTGCATGTGTGTTACAACACAGACACACAGCTTGGCTCTCCGTTCAGAAACACAGCAGAGGCCAAGATCTGCACAGGGGAGGAATTATCCTCATAATATAAACAGCACACATAAACAGCCCTGCCAGGGGGATCCCCAATCACTGGGATGTCCTCAACTGGCCTTCTCAGCAAGATTATTGTAGTAAACGCAAACTAAATCTAAATCATTTTTGATAGAACATTCAAAATAAAATTAAAACCACTGTAAATAAAAAGCTAAAATAAGACGACAAATGAATAATAAATAGCAAAGATGGATAATAGTTTTCACAATTAATAAGCAGTCATTCTGTAGTGTAAATCAGAGAAACACCAGAAGATTTTTACAGACAAAAACAAAGACTCGAATCATTTACAGAGACATTCAGCACTGCTCTAATAGAAGTGCTCCACAGAATGCCTGTGTTCTATATGCATGCAGGCGTCTGTGAAAAGTCTTGTTTTAGTCCTCTGGAGGACAAGCAAAAATACACGATCTTTGCATGGAGAAAATGAAATGCACATCAGCACGTCCTTGCAGTGACCGATGCTGGAAATCTGCAAGATCAGCTGAACATCAAGTATGAACCAAATGAAATGATGTATAAAACAAGCTCATCTGTCATCTGCTAAAGCCATCAGTGTTGGCCAGAAAAATGAACACATGGCATGCAGAAATATGGAAACAGGCAACTTAATGCACGAATACCAGGCTGGTTTAGGCCTGTCATGAATCAATAAATATGACCCTATAATGTCCCTGTCGTTATGAGGGATTGCCTAAACTATTCGTTCAAATGATCCATTCAAAACAGCTCATTCGTTTAGAAAAAAACTGCTTAACATTGATAATTAGCTTAGAAATAGTCATTCATTAAGGGGACAAAAAAGACACAGATATGTTCTGCTCCAGCTTTGTTTACACTATTTTCTCTAATAAAACACAAACAAATATTGTATCTAAAATATAACTCAGTCAATATGACCTTGTTTGCAAACGTGTTGAATCGTGTAAAATCTTATTAACATAAAAACAAATCATAAAGGGATATCTTTAATACCGTAGCGAATACAAGACAAGTTCTAGAGTTACTAGATACCACACACTTAGCACTACACAGATGATAATAAAATTAGAAGTTCAGTCTAGAAATGCACATCTGACAGCGGGATCGATTGAGGTTCAGTTCATTTAAGAGATTTATGATGAAAACTGTACTACTGTATGTGTAAACATTGCAACAGCCTCATCCTAAACACTGCATTTAAATGGGCTTCATCACACAAGCAGTGCTTTACCACTCTCAAAATATTGTTTTGTACAAAGTAAGAGACAAAAAAATAAATAGAATTTTAAAAAAATGCAAGTATATTGTAGATTATCAACACATTGCTCAAACATATTGCTGTATTCAGACCTGTAAATTAGCCAAAATGTGTGTGCTGACCATGAGAGAGTCACGGGTTCAGAAAGTCATGGTTTCCGCCATCAAAAGCACATTTCCTTTATTTCCATCCCCATTCTGTCCAGAACTCCTCAGATTTACGACACACAGCTGGGACTGCCTTTCTTCAAAAAATGTGGAGATTAACGGGTTAGTGGGGAAAAATGCCCTTGTTCTAGACTCTC